GAAATGCAGTGTGCTTGAAACTCCAGCCCTTGAAAGACAGAGAGATCTCCAGAACAAGCTGCATGCCTGGAATGATATGACTGGTGAGCTCTGGACTTGACTGAGAGACCCTGCTGCAGGGAATAGGGTTGACCATGATCGTTGAAAATGTCAAACATAGTGTGCACATGGATCTACACACACAGGTGGGCCTGCACACATGGGAACACGCATATACACACTCACAAACATCATGCACACACAAACTTTGAAAAAATGCTTATGGTAAATTTCATGTTTTTCTTATTACAATAAAAACTGAAGTTTTAAGTCACTGTGGTAGTTTTAGCAGAAGCATTATGTGCAGGAAAGGCAAATCCATAGCCAAAATGAGTATCTTCCCCAGTAAAGACAAGGCATTGTCCTTTCCATGGAGAAAGTGGTCCCCTGTAGTCAGCCCACCACCAGGTTGCTGGATGGTCACCCCAGGGAATGGTGCCATATATAGGGCTCTATGGTGCTTCCTGATGTTGTCAGATCCAGCATTCAGAAGCAGCTATAGCCAGGTCAGCCTTGGTGAGTGGAAGTCTATGTTGTTGAGCCCATGCACAACCCCCTTCTCTGCTACCAAGGCTGCTTGTTCCTGGGCCCAGTGGGCAAGGCAGGAATGGCTTGGGGGGGAAAGGCTGACCATCCACCAAGCAAGTCATCCTATCTACTTAATTACTGAACTCCTCCTTAGCTGAAGTCACCTTTTGATGAGCATTTACACAGGACACAAGTATTTTCACCTCCTTTGCCTATTTGGAGAAATCTATCCATATACTTCTTCCCCAGATATTTTTTCCTCCCAAATTTCCAATTATGTTCTTTCCAAGTCCCTCTTCATCCAGCCAATCCATTGGCTACAGCTACAGTTAACAATAGCACATCCGGCCATTTCTCCTTCCAAACAAAATGTAATACCATGTGTACTTTCTGAAGTTCTGCCCACTGCAAAGATTTCTCTCCACAGGTATCCTTCATGATCGTCTCAGAAAGAGGTTGTAATGTTACAGCTGTCCACTTCCAAGTAGTGCTTGCATAAAGTGCCCAACCATCAGTAAACCAGACCCCAGTCTTCTCTTCCTCAGTCAGTCAATCATAGGGAATATCTGATGAAGCTCTAGTTGCATGCTTGGTAACAGACAGCATTGTAACAGGAGTAGAGACCATAGGCATCTATGCAACTTCTTTATGTAACTTTCTTGTACCTTCAGGACCTGCTTTGGGCTGAATATAAATATATGTATTTGTGTGTATGTGTGTTTTTGTGTGTGTATGTACATATATCACTTCCATTTGATGTTAGATTGCTGTTGCACATGTCCTACTTTATAAATTAGTAGGTCAGATAATACCCAGATCATGATGAGTAGCTCAGGTCACATTGCAACTTAGTGGCCCATTGTCAAATATTCAGTTCCCACCAAGGCCCAATAGCAGGTCCAAGAGCTTTCTTTTAAAGGGAGAAGAGTTGTCTGCAGATGATAACAGTGGAAACTTGATCCAAAATCCCAAAGGTATTTTCTGTGATTCACCTATAAGGACCTGCCAAAGTCTCCAACTAGCATCCCTACTGATGCCTCAGGTACCATTGGGTCTGCTGGATCATATGGACTAAGTGGTAGAGCAGCCTGTCCAGTACCTTGTACCTGTTGAAGAGCCTTCTCCTGTTCCAGGACCCACATAAAGCTAGCAGCTTGGTATATGAGGCAGAGCAACACACCCAAGTGAGGAATGCTCTGTCTTCAGAATCCACATAGGCCCACTACACACTTCATTCTTGGTGATGGGAGGTCCCAGGTACAAAAACTTAACCTTCACCTTAAAAGGAATATCTCTGCATGTCCCACACTATTGAACTCTTAAGAATTTCACTGAGTTAGAAGGCTCTTGAAGCTTTGTTGGATTTATTTCCTATCCTTTCTTGTGCATGTGGATTATCAATGAGTTCCAAGGGGTTGCTACCTCCTGTTCACTTGGTCCAGTCAGCATAATGCCATCTATATTGAGCACCAATGTGATATTCTGTGGAAATGACAGACAATTGAGATCCCTTCTAACTAAGTTATGACACAGGACTGGAGAGTTAATACATCCTTGAGGTAGAACTGTCAAAGCATCCTTCTGGCCTTAACAACTGAAAGCAAATTGCTTCTGGTAGTCCTTATGGACACGTACTGATCAATAGCTAGATCAATAGCTGCATACTGTGTACCAGAAGACGTGTTAATCTGCTCAAGTAAGGACAAAAAAAATATGGTACAGCAGCTGGAATCAGAATTACTATCTGATTGAGTTTTCGATAGTCAACTGTCATTCTCCACAATTCATCTGTCTTCTGCACTGGCCAGACAGGAGAGTTAAAGGGAGATGTGGTGGGAACCACTCCCCCTGCATCTTTCAAGTCTTTAAATGGTGGGACTTGTTTCTGCAATTCCTCCAAAGATTGCAATACTGTTTTTGATTCCCTATTTTCCTTGACAAAGGGAACTCTAAATGTTTCCATTTAGCCTTTTCCAACCCTAATATCCCTTATTTCACAAATCAGGGAACCAATGTGATAATTCTGCTAACTTGTGAGTATATCTGTCCCAGTTGTACATCCTGAGACTAGGGAAATAACCACAGGATGAGTTCAGGGACCCACTGGACCTACTGTGAGTAAGACTTGAGCCAAGACTCCATTAACCACCAGACCCCCATAAACCCCTACCTTAACTGGAGAGCCACAAAGTTTCTTGGGATCTCCCAGAATCAAAGTCAATTCAGACACAATATCAAATATTCCCCAGAAAGTCTGATTGCTTCCTTTCCCCCAGTGTACATTTACCCTTGTAGAAGGCCATAGGTCCCTCTGGGGGAGGACTGGAGAAAGGCTAACAGTAAAACTTTTAGAGAATTTTATTAAGGTCCTTCCTCAGGGGAACCTGGCCATCCCTTCATTCATGAGGTTTGGGGTATGCAAATTGACTCAAGTCTAGAAAATGATATGTGGGCTGAGATTCGCTCTTGCCACAATCCAATGTAGCCTTTTTCCATTATTTTGAGTGCTTTTTCTGCTCCTACAAATAAAACAAAAATTCAGTAGGTTTCTGATCTATTTCAGGCCTAGAATAGCCATAATTGATTAGCCAGAACAAAAGTCCATACCGGTTATGCCACCATACAATTCACTTTGCCTGTGCTGACCATTATGGCTCAGGCCATTGTGAACATTGCTTTGTCTATGCTGCCAAATACAGAAACTGTGATTACCTTGCCCTTGGTGATCCAGTGCCACCACCTAGCCCCTGCTACCTCAGAGCCCAATTAAACCACTACATTTAATTCGTCCAACTGAGCAGAAGCATCTCCAACCCTAAGGTCTGTCATAAGGAAAAGGGCAACAGCAAAGCTCTTCAATGTGCTGGTGCCCCTCTCACCATTTTGTGTCTTATAGGATTAGTGAAGGGCATGTCTTCTAGGCTTTCCCATTGTGTTAGAGTAGGTTTTACATGGTATATACACTCCAGCATTGCAATTTCCCTGAGTCCTAAAATTCCTTCATCAACACTAAGTCAAAGGATATCAGGCATCTCCAACTCCTTTTCAGGAGGCCATCATTGGACAAATGCTTCATCCAACCATTCAAACCAACTTTTGATACCTTTTTAAACTGTGCAAGCTTCCATATTAAACTGAAAATCTCTATGCAGAGGGCCCATATCAATAAACTCAGCCTGATCCAATTTTATGTCCCTTCTACCATTATCACACACACACACACACACACACACACACACACACACACACACACACACACACACTCCATTCCCAATCATGCTCCCCAGACTTCTGCTTGAATGAATTAGCAATCTCAGTAGCAACGCCCTCATGGACTTCATTTTCTACCTCCCCTCTAGTTTGCCTTAAGGATGATTATAGGTCTAGAGGCAACTATTGGTGGTCCCTGTGGGATGTCAGTATTATCTTGCCTGGCGTCTCCTTCATGGATGATGATTTAGCAGACAGTGAGGATTAATTTCTTCACTCAAACGTGAAAAAGGCAAAATTCCTCAACTTCAATAGGCTCTCCCACAATCCCCATCCCAAGGTACAGAATCCTATTCTTTACCAATTAATGCCCTTACTAATCAACCACCAACAGAAACTAAGGCTGTGTTTTAATTTTTGCTGTAATTCAGCTAACCTTATGTTGAGTGCTTGAACTTGATTTTTCTGTAACTTGAGATCTATGGCTGCTGGAGAAAAGATTATCTTCCAGAGCAAACTTTGAAACCTTTAGACTATGTATATACATCTGGAGCCAGTCAATTTTATCATTAAGTTCATTGTTGTCCTTCACTGTGTTTGGAGATTCTGGAAGTTGGTTAATTTTATCACAAAGCTCATTCCTATCCTTTGTCAATTTATCCAGAGATGCTAAGAGCAACCAACCATCATCATTATTTTCCTTATTTTTCCACAAGCTATCAAAAGTTTTATATACAGAATCACCAAATCTGTTCCTACTCATGATTGGTAAATCAGAATAATCAAATGCATTTGTCTCCTTAAGTTTGTAAAATAGTTCATACTGTAGTACATGCTAAGCTCCCAGGAGAAGCTTTAGGGCTTGTAAGTGTTAAGAAATTGGAAAGCCTTTTCCAGATACTTACAAGATTCATTCTTATATTCTGTTGCCCTGGAACCACTTCTGGTACCAACTTCTGTCTTAGTCAATGTTTATTGCTGTGAAGAGACACTGTGACCATAGCAACTCTTTTTTAAAGAAAAGCATTTAACTGGGGCTGGCTTACCATTTCAGAGGTTTAGTCTATTATCATCATGGTGGGAAACATGGCAGCATACAGGCAGATGTGGTACTGGAGAGGTATCTGGAAGTGTTACATCCAGATCCACAGGCAGCAGGCAAAGAGAGACACTGGTCCCAGCATTTGAAACCTCAAAGGCCACCCCCAGTAACACACTTCCTCCAACAAGGCCACATCTCCTAATCCCTGTCAAGTAGATTCATTCCCTAATGACCAAACATTCAGATATATGAGCCTATGGGGGCCATTTCTATTCCAACCACTACAGTTACTTTCCTACAGTGTACACACACACACACACACACACACACACACAGCCTTTGTCTAGTTGGGATTCCTGTTTTCAACAGGTAACTGTATAAAATCGATGGCAGTGACAAAGAGATGAGGTCCTTAGTATGGCCTTGAACGATCCAAAAAGAATCTTGAAGGAACTGATGCCCCTTGTTAGTGGTGCCTTAGTTAATACTGAACAGTTAGCTCTCAAACAGCAATAAGAAGCCCTGTACTATACACTGGGTCCCATGGTATAGACATCCCCATGGCCCATGTCAAGACTCCATTATCACAGCCAGCTGAGAGTTGGAAGCAGAGGCACCAGGCTATCTTGGGAGGCTCCACCACACCACTGAAGAACCTCTCAGAATGTCTTCTGCATCTTCATCCCATTCATTTCATATTTAAAATATGTAGTAGGGAAAGGAGACTAGTATTTCTGAAGTACCTACAAAATCATTTAGACAGTTGTACTAAATGTTATTTATGGTATATAATCTTATTCTTAAAGGGTGAATGCAATAGAAAGCAGTTTTTTTTAAAGACATAAGATTCCCAGTCCTAGTATTGATTAAATTTTTGAGATTTATTCTTTAGCATGAAAGAAAATCCTTTTAAATTTTCCCAGATTGAAGGTCCTAAGCTAGGAAAAGTCATTATGTTCTCCATCACAACAGCTGTTATCTGAGTACTTATCTGAATTTGGAACTGTGACATTCACCTTTGGACATGAGTGAGAGGTGTGGTCTGTTTGCTTATCTGCTCTTTGTCTTTTATGGAAACTGATGTTAGCAAATATAACAGATTTTTGATCCCAACAGGAATGACAGTAAATGATTCTGCCAGCCACGCAACAAAAGAAACAACTTTAGTATATTCAATAAGTCTTTAAAAAAATATGGCCTTATTAAAATAATTGTACTAGTTATGAGGCAGAACCCACAGAGCTCAGTTGTCAAAAGTGCCTACAGATTTCTCCTGACAATTCTTTTTCACAGATGGAGAAAGATCCATACCACCTCTCAGAGGAGAAGAGAAATGGTAACTAAAGAACTGATTGCTTAGGGTCCTAGCTTCCTTCTCAGTACCCTGCAATGCACTATTGAAGTTCAGAATACATTCTCAAAATTTCTATCCTAATATCCAGTTTCAAACAACAGCTCTTTTGAATGAAATTGTCTCTATTTTATACATTTTCTGTGAATCTAAATAATTATTTCACTAAGAAATACCATGTGAATCCAGAAGAGCGGGTCCACTAGCCACCCACAGAAGACTCCTACTCCCAAGGTTCCTTTCCCACAGACCCAATCCCCACCACTACTTCTCTCTCTCTCCACCCCGACCCTCCCTGCATGTCACCCCCAACTCTGGCAGACACCCCCTGCTTAAATGCAGTCCACACCAGTCAGAAGAACAGCTGCAGATCTTCCCTACTCCCTCAGTTCCCACAGACGCAATACTCTACCATTCTTCCACCCCCACCTCCTGTGCCTTGTTCCCACCCACCTCTGGTGGAATCCTCTGTTTAAATGCAGCCCATACAAGCCAGAAAAACAGGTAGGCATACTCAGGCAGAGACTCCCTGCTGACCAGGACCATCAGAACTTCAGATAAGCTGTCCACCTGAGGATACCCTCCACTCTTGGTGCCCCATCCCACACTATCAATAATCCACCCCTCCCATCTTTATCACCATTTCCCAGCCCCCAATTCAGGCAAAGAAACTCTTCTCAAATACAGACCACACAAACCAGAAGTCCAGAGAGGAAACAGAAATCAAGGAACAAAACATCTATCCAACAAAGACAAACTCGGAAAAAGGCACCTAGACCTATAATCATCCCAAACCCAGATGCCTAAATGTCAGCTTAAGAACATAATCAACAACAGCCAGGGCAATATTTCACCACCGGAGCCCAGCTATCCCACTACAGAAAGCTCTGAATATCCCAACATAACTGAAGCACAGGAAAAGACCTTAAAATCAATTTACAAAGATAATAGAAATTCTTAAAGAAATTGAAAAAAAGACAAACAAAAAATGGAGGAAATACAACAACAACAAAAACCCCTAACAGTTGAAAGAAACAAATAAAACTGTTCAAGACCTGAAAATGGAAATATAAGCAACAAAAAATTCAAACTGAGGGAATTCTGGAAATGGAAAATCTAGGTAAGCAAACAGGAACTACCAACACAAATATTACCAACAGAAAACAAGAGATGGAAGGGAGAATCTCAGACATTGAAGATACAATAGAAGAAAAAGATACATCAGTTAAAGAAAATGTTTAAAGAAAATAACTGATATGAAACAACCAGAAAATCTAGGACACTATGAAAATATCAAATCTCAGAATAATAGGAATAGAAGAAAGAGAAGAATCCCAGCTCAAAGGCCCAGGAAACACTTTCAAGAAAATCATAGAAGAAAATTTCCTGAAACAAAAGAAGGAGATGTCTATAAAGGTACAAGAAGCATACAGAAGACCAAATAGATGAGACCCAAAAAGAAAATCCCCTCAAAACATAATCAAAACACTAAACATACAAAACAAAGAAATAATATTAAAAATTGCAAGGTAGAAATAACAAGGAAAATATAAAGGCAGACCTATTAGAATTACATCTGACTTCTCGATGAAGACTCTAAAAGCCAGAAGGGCCTGGACAGATGTCCTACAGACTGAAGCCAAAGATGCTAGTCCAGATTCCTATACCCAGCAAAACTTTTAATCACCATAGACAGAGAAAACAAGGTATTCTATGATAAAGTCAAACTCAAACAACATTTATCTACAGATACAGAAGAAGTGTGGAGTCTGAGGATTTGTGAGCCAGACATGGAAGAAGCAACATGGGAACTTCACAGATGAGGTAAACAAGTCTCAGGGCAGCACATAGATGAATAGAAATGAGTAAATTTAAGTTTTGTTTTTTGGAGTATTCTTGGTTTTGTTGTTGTTGTTTCGAGACAGGGTTTCTCTGTGTAGCTTTGCTCCTTTCCTGGGACTCACTTGGTAGTCCAGGTTGGCCTCGAACTCACAGAGATCCACCTGCCTCTGCCTCCCGAGTGCTGGGATTAAAGGCATGCGCCACCACCACCCGGCTGTAAATTTAAGTTTTAAGAGCTGGCTGGAGACAAGCGGAAGCTATTGGCCAAGCATTTATAACTAATAATAAGTATCAGTGTGGTTATTTGGAGAACCAGAAGTCCTGACAAAAATCTTTGCCTACAGACTGAAGCAGCAACCACAGAGGCTGCATGAGTCTGACCCATGTCCTCTGCATATGTTATGTTTGTGTAGCCTGGTGTTCCTCTGGAACTCCTAATAGTGGGAGGGGAGGTATCTCTGACTCTTTCACCAGCACTTGAGACCCTTTTCCTCTTACTGGGTTGCCTTGCCCAGCCTTGATACAGGGGTTTGTGTCCAGTCTTATTGCATCTTGTTATACTATGTTCGGTTAATATCCTTGGGAGGCATGCTCTTTTCTGAAGAGAAATAAAAGAGTGGATTGGAAGAAGAGGGAGAGCAACTGGGAGAAGTGGAGGGAGGAGAAACTGCAATCAGGAGGTAATGTATGAGAGAAGAGTGAAAAAATGAAAAAGAAATACTACATAGTATATTTTGTTGATCTACTGTGAGGAATCTCACAGCTCTCAACTATTTGTCACTTTACTAATCATAATTTATAACTGTTTAATGGTTTCTGGTGTCCTTCTTTCTACTATTTGATTTTTATATTATTTGTGGATAATATATATTCACAATACATTCAAATATAGTAACATTTGACTTCAATGGATGACCAATTCACTCTGTTTGTGCTTTTTATTCTGAGGAAGGGAGCGGGAGGATTTAAATGCCTTCAAAATCTGGGCTCTATTGATACCAACAAGTCAGAGGGGAGGAGATGGGGAGGAGGACTCTAATGTCAAAAGAGAAATCATTTTTATGTATGCTTTCAGAAATAATTGTATGAAAAATTATTAAAATAAAATTTTAAAATAAAAACTGAAAAAAAGAACAAGATGAGAGAGAAGGGGATCAAAAAGGAGCTAAGATGAGAAGGAACTAGATGGATGAGAACCTAGATGGGGCAGAATTAAGATGAGAGAATTAAGATAGAACTTAGAGGGGACAGCAGATAAATGTAGAGAGAAATCAGGCATGAGAGCAGAATAGAAGCTGTGTAGAGAGATAACTGACACAGAATAAGAAACTGTATGGACTAAGGAGTTTTGTTTCATCAAAGATGAATTATCAGCTGGTTGTAGATTCTTCCCAGACCCTGAGAGGAAACTATCAAGGGGCTGGGCCCCCATAGTCCCCAATAGAGGAGGACTGGAGGACTGTGCCATACTCAGCATTGTATATCCAGCTTCTGGCATGATTCCAGATATAAAAGGTACTTCACGTTTGCCAAGTGAATGAATCTGCCTCATTAGAATCATTAAATGAGACTGACAAATTCGAAGAGCCACCACAGCATGACACAGAACAGGGGTCCTAGTTAATGTTAATTGAAAAACACACACACACACAAATAAATAATAAAACATTTAAAAACTCAAGGAAAGGAGAAGGAAGAGAATAGCAGGTGAGAAGAGAAGTAAATGAAAAATCTGTAAAAAGCAGCAGACGTAAGAACTTGATCTAGACAGAATTCACATGTGCTATGGCCCCATTCATAATCTAAGTTGATGTGCTTATCATCACGATTGAAGGGATTGGCATAGTGCAGAAACAGTTGATTGTAGCTTTAGAAACATTCAACAATGAAGTTACCCTAATCCTAAATATAATCAAATTGTAAGAGCCAAATGCCCTTCCAGATGCTAAGGATGAATAATTGAAACCGTCTTCCCGAACCCCACACCCAGCACATTGTCCTGATGAGGCTTTGCCATTGTGCTAGCCTTTGCCATGTAGAATTATTGGACTACAGTTTCTGGAGGCTTCTTTGAACCACAGTCACAAACAAATTAGTTTAATTATTTACTGCTTTCCAGCTCATATGAAAATGATTCTATTTAAAATAGGGAGGGGGCGATTCCCTGAAAGAGAAGGCGGTATGTATCAAAGCCGAGTAAGAGCTCTTCCCTGGGCTCACTGCCGCTTTCTTCATTATATTCCCACACAAGGGCTGATTTCAAGTGCATTTGCTGCTCTCACTCACCTGTCAGCCTTGACACTTCAGGGAAGGTCCTTAATCTGATCTCTCAGGACTGAGTCCACAGGCTTGTGCTCACTGGTGAGGACTCAGTGGTTCTCAAAGAACAGGATGGGAAATTTTTTTAATCAAAATTTATTCTCTCCTCGGGGTAATTTTCCCTGAGGAATCTGTTGACAGTGTCTGAAGTGATTGCCGGTTGTTACATTGCTGGTGGGAGATGAGGAACTATACTTTAGATTCTCTTATTGGATTCAGACACCCCATATAAGTTGGCTATTTGGTGGGGAAAACAGTGTAGAGTACCCCCATCTCCTCATTGAGTTTGATGCAAGAGGGAAGATGGCCAGAATTCAAGGAAGGAAATCCAGGTACATCATTTAGAGACTGTCCTAGTCAGGGTTTCTATTGCTGTGGTAAAACACCATGACCAAAAGGAAAGTTGGGGAGGAAAGGGTTTATTTGGTTTACACTTCCAGACCATACTTGATCACTGGAGGAAGTCAGAATAGGAACTTAGGCAGGGCTAGAGCCTGGAGGAGGGAGATGATGCAGAGGCTGTGGAGGAGAGCTTCTTGATAACTTGTTTTCCTTGGTTTGCTCAGCCTGCTTTCTTATAGAACCCAGGACCACCAGCCCAGGGATGGCCCCACCCATTTGATCACTAATTTAGAAAATGCCTTACAGCTGGATCTCATGGCGGCATTTCCTCAACTGAGGCTCCTTCCTCTCTGGTGACTCCAGCTTGTGTCAAGTTGACACACAAAACCAGCCAGGACAGAATTCAAATATAAATTCAACATTATACACAAACTCTCTAAACTGATCTCTCTCAGTGGTCAGATATGAAGAGGGTGATGGATCTTTTGGGGAGAAGTGGAGTTACACAATAAGCATGTATATCTATTGCAGTGTTTGCTGAATTAGGTGTACAATAAATGTATCATTAATACTTCGTATGTTGTCATTCACTAAATCTAGTCATTAATACTTCATATCAATGGACCCCAAACTCTATTGTGCATCTTATTTGACCTGGGAGGATTATGACAGTCCACATTTCCAGGTCCTGTCTCCAGGTTCTCTAGTCTTCTTTGGCAGGAGTCATCATCATCTAGTATAGGTATTTTATAGAGGAGATGGAGTAATTCTGATCAACAGGGTCCGTGGACAAAACACTGAGAACATTGCTCCCAAAGGGTTGGGATTAGAGTTCCTCGGATTCACTGAACTAGATCTTCAGAGACTTCTAGACTCCAGAGAAAAGTCAAAACTGCATCATACCTTCTTGCACCCCTCTTCCCTAGAACCTTCTGGAATAAATTGTCTCATTTTCTCCAGCAGCACACCCTCTTCTCTCTGTGTGAGCCACAGTGTCATTACTGCTTTGCTCTCCTGTTCTATAAATGACAGAGGAAATTTGCCCAGATAGCTCTGCAGACAAAATTTGAGGGAGAGGACTCCGTATATGCCGACTTCCTCTTGGAGAACATTAGGAAGTCAAGGAAAAAAATCTGGTTTTAAAGTGAGCAAGGGCTAGACGTTCAGTCTAACCCTTACTCGGTTTGCTCTCTGAGCCTCTGTACCTGAGATACAAACTAAGAATGCAAGGACCTACTTCCTCCAATAGCAAGCGGTTTTTGTTGTTTTGTTTTTTGAGACAGGGTTTCTCTGTGTATCCCTGGTTGTCCTGGAACTTGCTCTGTAGACTAGGCTGGCCTCAAACTCATAAGATCCATCTTCCTCTACATCTCAAGTGCTGGGATTAAAGGCACGTGCCACCACCACCTGGCTTAGCAAATATTCTTAATGCAGTCCACGTGACCTGGGCATGTAGTTCTGGGATCATATCCTCTTGTATGTTTGTGGCAAACCACACTATTTGCCTATCTAGTCTTTCTTCTTTTCTTATTTGCCAACAGATTCACATCATAGGGTGGAGGTTAAAAAAATGATTGCAATATAGTCAGATTAAAAAAAAAAAACAGTATCCCAAAGCTTCTTCCATTTTGCTATCCCTGAATTTACTTATCTCCAAGGCTCTGAAGCTATTCTACAACCAGAATGAAGTGTGTGCGCTCCCATTAAAGAAAATCTTCTAGTTTTGGGGGTTGAAATTAGAGCATAGTATGAAGTGCTAGGGGGTAAATTGTAAGGAGGCATTCACTGTCATGTAAGTTAAAGCTGGTATTGACAATAAATACCTTCTTAACTATCCTTACTGGCTCAGATCATTCACTGTGATTCTCCTGGACTATTTTATTCCCCACATTTTCTCCAGCTTCACCTTCACTTTCAGCTTCCAAGACTGATCTGACCTTCATAGCCAGTGATTTGCAAATGGTCATTTATGGCCTCTGTCTTTTCATGAAATGTCTATAATGAATATAGCATTTTAAAATGTTAAACAATAGAAAATACTGGAACCATCCCAGATAGGAAGAGTAAATACCATAATTTTATCTCCACTATATGTATAAATATTCATGTCAATATTCATGTGTAGTTCTGGGTCCTGATATAAAATGTAATACTTGAGACTTTTCTAGTGAGTTTTAAAAGAAAAAGTTCTCCCCCACTCCAGTATATTTTTCCCCATTGATTTAGGTTTCTTACCTTATACCCATCACATAAGCTATTACTTTCACTTGAAATTTTAGTTTAATTAAGCTTAAATGAGATTCAGTGTGTAGTAGCTACAAGGAACTTATATTGTGTTCACCAAAGTTTAAAGTTGTTAATTTCTTCTGTAGATGTAACCAACCATCTTATTAAATAAGAAACACAGACCAATGCAAAGAAGAAAGCCAAGAGGTCAGAGCTAAGAGCTAAAACCTTACCCTTCCTCCTGCGGTGGACCTACCTCTCCGAACCAGAGCTACTTCCTGTATTAAAGTCTTTATATAGAGTTTCTGTTCTGCCTTCTCATTGGTTGTAAACCTAACCACATGATCGCCTCATCACGGCCTGTCTGTATAGACCTCCCGGTCTTCTATGGTTGGTATTGAGATTAAAGGCGTGTGTATCCAATGCTGGCTGTATCCCTGAACACACAGAGACTTACGTAGCTCTGCCTACCAAGTGCAGGGATTACAAGCATATGCCACCACTGCCCTGCTTTCCTATGGCTTGCTAATAGCTCTGACCCCTGGGGAACTTTATTTATTAACATACAAATAATATTTTAATACAAATAAAATATCACCATATTGTGTATCATGTATACTTAGAAGCTTTACATGTTGTTAGAGAAGTAAATGATTTTTTTAGAGTTTTGTGATCACAGACCAAGTCAAATCTGTATTTTTTGCAGCAGCTTTGGAGAACATCTGTCTACTTCCAAGAACAAAATGGTACAAAAACTTAAATGTGGGCTGGAGAGGTGACTCTACAGTTAAGAGCACTTGGTACTCTTGCAGAGGACCTGGGTTCAGTTCCTAACACCTATATGGGAGGCTCACAGCTGTGTGCAACTCCTGTTCCAGATGATCCAGTGCCCTCTTTTAGGCTCTATGAGCACCAGTATGTATGTGGTGCACATACACACAGGCAAGCACTCACACATACATAGAGTAAAAATAGGTAAACCTTTAAAGAAAAAGAATTCAATGAACATTTACCTAAATTAAATTTATTTTTCTCCAATTTTTTGATAATTTCTTACATTTTAAGGTTATTGCTTTTATTTCTTTCTCTTTTTTGAGATTATAATTACATAATTCCTCCCTTTTCTTTCTTCCCTCAATTCTCCCATATACCCTTCCTTTCTCTCTTTCAAATTCAGAACATCTTTGTGTGTGTGTGTGTTTGTGTATATTCCAAAATATAACCTGCTCATCCTGTATGTACCCTTCCATTTTCTCTTTCAAATTCACAACATCTGTGTGTGTGTGTGTGTGTGTGTGTGTGTGTGTGTGTGTGTGTGTTTGTGTGTGTGTATATTCCAAAATATAACCTGTTCATCCTGTATGTCACTTGTACGTATGTTTCCAGGGCTGGCCACTTTGTATTGGATAACCAATTCGTATGCACTTCACTGGGTGAAAAACACTATTTCTCCAGCTCTCAGCATTCCTTATACCATTCCTTACAGAAGCACTTCAAGGGAAGTCCCTAAATAAAAATATTTGCCTGTCCTGGAACCTTATAAACAGTCAATGAACTTCAAGTAAATACAACTATATAAATTAACAGGCTACTTAATTACAAAAATACTCAGGTCTATAAAACGATCCAAAAAAATGCATGTTTCATTTTCATTCACTTTAATTGTATTAAAATTCAGCATATTTGCATTCATGCATTTTATATTCATCATCCCCCCCCACCCCCCGCACTGGATATTAAACCAAGGGCTTTGCAACTGCCTGGCCAGTGCTCTGCATTTGAGCTACACTGAGCTCTAGTTCTCTCTTCATTCTTATTAACTCATTATAACCTGTTATTGGTAACTAATTGCTCTTCAGGGGCTGGAGAGATGGCTCAGCCGTTAAAGACTAGGTTCACAACCAAAAACTAATTGCTCTTCAGAAAGGTATTGCATTTGAAGCCATTTGTAAAGGAAGACTTTCATCTTTCTAAAAAGAATGTTTACTGTGTAACACAAATGTCACAAATGAAATTTCTTTATATTTCAAAGTCGGTTCCTTTGTTGTGTTCTTCCTTGTGTGTATAATTTGTGCTTTATAGAATAAGGCAGAAATGGAAGTTCTCCCCGTTCCTCTATTAATTAATTTTCTTCTTCTTTTCAATGCTAGAGAATTTATGAACTTGGATAATATAAAAGTTATCATCAGCATTCTGTGGGCTTCCATGAGTATATTTAACCAACATTTATCCAGCATGTACTAATTACTTCACACATTAGTTGGACACTAATAATTTCCTGGGTGTTATGTAACATAAATATACTGAACACTTCCTCTAAGCTATGGTTCAAAGCTGAATTAGATATACCATCACGAAGTTCACAGTAATTAATCTTCTACCACATATGATCTGGGAAAAATAGTCATTAATGATTTCACAATATTTCTCTGCTTCCATCTGGATTTCCTAGGCAAGACAGTTGATCTTGAGAGACATGTTCTCTTTGTCCCTAAGTTGGATGGTTTGGATTGTCTTCAAAGTACTCTTGGGTTAAGATTGTGTATGCCCTAGCAAGAAAATGAGTTCTCCAGATCGGTCAACATGCCAAGACAAGTAATTTTGTATTACTTCCATGTGTAAAATCTCAAGTGTCATTTTCCCATTTCTCTTGCTCCACGTTTTCTCCTAAGGAAGCATGTCAAGTGACAGCGACCCCACCCTCATCCCCTGACATACACTACCGTTTCTTCTTCTATAGGTTTATTTAAACAGTTTGCTTGGTCACCACCATTTCTGTGGAAGAAACCATGAGACAGGTTGAATGGAGCCTTTTAAAGAGGCCCTGTCCTATAACATATGGTCACTTCCTACCAGACACCTAAACTACTTTTTTTCTGAGACATTAAGGTTGTAGCTCAGTTGTAGTGTACAATGTGATACCCTGGGTTCAATATGTAGTATGAAAAAGAAAGAAAGAAAAATGGTGGTCATGAAACAATGACTGCATTATCTTTGTTCTATCAGCTCTGGTGATAGTTAGGCTGATGATGCTGTCCAAAGATTCCTAGGGAAGTCTGGCAGTTTGAGCAAGGACTATGAAGTCTCAGATTTCATTTGCACACAGGGTTCTGTCAATATCTATTTGTCCATATATATTTACATTGCTATATATTTGTGCTATATCTGTATATGCACACATAATTTATTATTTATCTTGTACCAAGACTGTGTAAAACACTGTATTTCTATTTTCACATATAAACCTCACAAAAGATCCAAAAGGCAAATATTTATTTGTCTAGTTTTCCAGAGAAAAGAATCAAATATTTACTAGTAGATATTGATGGGATTCTGCATTTCTAATCTAGGTTATTTAATTCTAAATGAAAGACATCAACTATTTCTATGCACATACACAACCATGATGACATAATGGATCTTAAGAGAAGATTGAGGGATGTTTGCTTTGATAAAAAATAAAGCAGTCTTCAAAATGCCACATAGGAACTCAACCATCCTTACGCTGTCTGGAAAGGCAACTATGTTAACATGAAAGCTACCAGAACTAGAATACAGTCTTTGAAAATCTGACCATGACCTGGTTCTGCTATCCAGAGCTCACATCCTAAGAGTTTCAGAGCTTCTCAAAATAGCACCCAGGCAGGGAACCAGTACTCAATCATGAGCCTGGGTGGAGTATTTCAGATCCCAGCCATAGCATTCTACCTCTGGCCTCCAAATGGCATTGGATAATGCAAAATGCCTTTGGTTCGATTAAAAAAATCTCCACAGTTTTAATCAGCCTAACCCTCCGTTCAAAAGCCCAAGCATATTTTAAAGGTCAATACAAAAAATTTAACTATAAGCTCCTATAAAATAACAAATAACACATAATAAACATTCCCATTCAAAAAGTGAGGAACGGAAAGATAGATCATACCAAACACCAACATGGAAATCATGTAATTCTGCAGCTGTCCACATGTGCATGCCTGAACTCCACAGTGCATTGTGTGGAACCTGGGTATTTATTTAACTCAGGTCACCAGCCTCGGTGGCAGGTGCCCTCACCTGCTAAGCCATCTCTGCAGCCTGAAATGTGGCTTTGTGTTCTGTTCTAGTCTGTTGTGTTCAGGCTATGTGAAACGGGATCTCACTTTGTGACCCAGGATCACCTTAAAATCAAGGAAATCTTCCTGCCTCATCTTCCCAAGTGCTGGGATTTGGAATTAGCCATAGATAACTTTTGAACCAGTATTAAACTCTCGTGACTGTTACTTATCAATTAGGCTATACACTTTTGGCTCCCCAATAAACTACCAGAATCTAACAGGGTTGTTGAAGTTTTGAAGACATTCTGGGAATGTTGGAAGTTTAGAAAATTCATTTTACTGAGAATTTCTGAGATGACTCTAAAACAGGGTCTTAAAGGAGTATACTGCTCCGAAACTTCTCCCAGTGAAAATATGCCTTTGTAATTAGTTAAATAACTACAATTAAAACAGAGTTAAAATAAGAAAAATGTCTTACTGATGAGACTTGGTGTCACTTAAAATTGAAATGAGACTCAAAAGTCCAAAGCACCACATAGCAAAAGGGTTTCAGTGCTTGGCAGTTCTGTAGGCAGGGCTCAGTCTGATCCTACTGATTAAGAAGAGAGCTCCTTTTCCTCCAAAGCAGGAAATTGGCCGTGGCAGTAATTCATATCATAGATGTTAACAAATGCTACACATCAAGCCTCTCACCCACCCTAAACATTGTCACTGACTATTCACTGACATTGATGGAAAATGTTTTAGTGTTCCCTAAAACCAAAATATCATGACTTACAATTTATGGTATTCAATCACATTCTCAATGATGTTTATGGTAGAGATTTGCTTCCAGTCTGAGTGAAATGATGAATTAAACCACGTTTGGATCTCCATCAGCTGAGCCTGCAGCAGCCAGGAAGGACAGTGCAGGACACAGCAGTCCTGTGCATCTGAGTCTGCATCACCCAGGAAGGACAGCGCAGGACACGGCACTCCTGTGCAGCTGAGTCTGCAGCAGTCAGGAAGGACAGCGCAGGACACAGCAGTCCTGTGCATCTGAGTCTGCATCACCCAGGAAGGACAGTGCAGGACACGGCACTCCTGAGCAGCTGAGTCTGCATCACCCAGGAAGGACAGCGCAGGATACGGCACTCCTGACGGAAATGATGCCTCTCATGAGATTGATTCATGGGGCATGGCAGAGACATTCTTTGTGGTCTGAACCAGGAAAGCAGAGGAAATCAAGATCAACAGGCCCTACCTTACATGGGGAAGAAAGTGAAGGAAGAATGAGAGGAGATCTAACTGGTTTAGACAAGATTGGTAAACCTAGGGGAATTTTTAGTCTAACAGGTGGTAGAAAAGGAATAAAAAAGATTTAAATAAATTAAAAGACTGACATAAACAAAGAAAGAAAAATATTTCAAACATATCTGTCATCACTAAAGGAGATACTTAGAATAAATTCTAGGTCCATCATAAGCTATATTTCTCTTGCTTCAAAAAGAAAAAATACCTGCCTCAATTTGATATGCCATGCTTTGTGGATTCCAAAGGGAGACCTTATCCCAACTAAATGAAGAGGAAGGAGTGGATGGGAGGGCAGAAGGGAGGTGGCGGGAGGGAACGGGAGGAGAGGAGGGAGGGGAAACTGTGGTTAGTATGTAAATTAAAATAAAGAAAAAAGTCAAAAAAACAAAACAGGTCTCCAGTCTTACACACACTGGAATTCTTATGGTTGCTGAGTGAATTGTCCATCATCACCCTTTTCCAGGACATGAAGTTAAGAAACACTACCCATAGTTAAATGCAGCTTTAATGGCCCTTTAGAAATAATGTGTAACCCTTTTTTTTTAATAAGTGAGTAACATGTAACATTTCCCCCAAAACAATAGTAAACCACGATTGGCTGGACTAGAGCAGACTGTAGCTGGAGGGTGTTAGGGCAGACTTCTAGTAACAAGATGTTCAACTCACAAAAGACCAATCTATGCTTTTAGAGAAAATGACCAGCATATACACAAAGATAATTTATTCTATTTTATCTATCCCACAAATCAGCTAGCTCTCTTACTCACAAAATTATGCATTGTCCCTCTAAAATATCTTTGTCCTGGAACACAGAATACCGACAGGGAAACTGGATTCTCACTGAACTGGATAGGGAAGGAAATATTCAATATACAAGTTTTGAATGAAAGTAGACTAGGAAAATAAGCAATGTGCCTGTGGGGTATATGTTTCTAATGTCTTCATTTCAAACCTTGTAGAATACAGGAACTCTGAGTTCCAGTTCTTCTGTGAAAGCAAGAGTCCAGTGAGACCAAACAACAGATCCAAGCCATTGTTGGCAGTGTTAAAACTGAGCACATACTACAATCTTATGCTCTAATTCAAAGTGTTTCCCCTTGGCTCAGTGGACAACACATCCGTTGGCTAATAGGGTGGCAGAGGGGAAATAGATGCCTCTAGGTTCATTCTGTTGCCAAAGGACACAATTCATAGTCTCTCAATCCCTGCCCTCCAGTTCAATCTACAATGAGGTTCTCAGACTTGGCACTGGAATCCTATGGGAGACCTTTAGAAGCTGATGCCTTAGCCCCCGCCTCAGCGATTCTGATGGGATTGCCCTGAGGCTTGGCCTGAGCATGAGAAGTTTAAAAGCTCCATAGTTGGTTCTAACATAGTCAAAGCTATGAAGCAATGATTGAGGCACTCAGAGACCATCCAGTGTTTCCCCATGCTGTGGTTAGCAGGTGTGCAGTGGGGGTGTTAAGACTGTTCGTTAGTTTGTGAAACTTTATAGCCCAGGCTTGCCTCAGATTAGCAGAAATCTTCTTGACTCAGTCTTCCTGGTACTGGAATTGCAGGTGTGAGCCACCACACTCAGCCCGATTCTGCATTTATCCCAAATCTGATGATGTCATAGTCTTGTCTGGGAGCCAGTGGGCCAGGATAATAAGGCTTTGACTCAGGGCATGTCAGGATCTCCTGGAACAGCAACTGCACCACTGGGCACCTATTTGCAAATGCTCACACCCACCCCAAACTTACTCAAACTCAGAAGTCGGAACAGTGGTCTACACTTTAATATGCACTTCAGGTGTTTGATGTGCAAGCCAGAGTTTGAAGCCAGCAGTTAAAGCCTCTAGGGAGTCTTTCTCTGTACCACCAGCTCCCTAATAATGACACGGAGACATTATCCTTATATCATCATCATCATCATCATCATCATCACCATCATCATCATCATCATCATCATC